ATAGAATAAACCAGTTTTATTAAGAAAGAACTTGTGTCGCTTAAGTTTCGTCGGAACGAAGTTACGGAAAATCAATTAACAAACGGAGACGTAACAATATGCAATCTGTAAACATAACTCTTTGATAAACTCATACTTATATTAGAAAAAAACAAAACAAATATTTATATGCAATCTGTAAACATATCTCCTTGATAAACCCATACATTTACTAGAAAAAAACAAAACAAATATTTATATGCAATCTGTGAACATAACCTCCTTGATAAACCCATACCTATATTAGAAAAAAAAATATTTATATGCAATCTGTAAACGTATCTCCTTGATAAACCCATGCATTTACTAGAGAAAAACAAAACAAATATTCATATGCAATCTGTAAACCTTACCTCTCTGATAAACTCATATATATATGTTAGAGAAATAAACATATCTGTATGCATTCTGTGTTTACTTAATTAAGATTCTCAGAAATTCACACAGTAATTAATTTGAATCCGCAATGAAGATATTAAAAGAAATGTGGAAAAAACACCGTGATCTTTATTACAACTTTATAACTAAAAATCCGCTGTAGTACGATGAAATCGAAAACAAAAAATAGAAAACTTATACCACGACAAATGACTAACACGAAATAGATTTTTAAATTTCTAAAGTTTAAAGTCACCAAATCCCAGCCCGAAATGTTGTGAATATTAAAACACCTATTTCATATTAGTCATTTTTCGTGGTATAATGTTTTTCCTCATTTTTGCTTTATCAAATTTTTAGCCTAATAAGTTTTACATTAAAGCATTATTACACTACAGTATCAATTTCTTAACTGTTTCTATGGTACTATTGTAACACGTGCATTGGGACACTACAGTATCCTTTTCTTAATTGTTTCTATGGTACTGTTGTAATGTTTACTACTGTTGGTTGGGTTCTTTTGCATTATTCATTAAATAAAATATTGCAAAGTCCAGTGCATTTAATTATAACAAAGACTTTTTGTTCCTTCTACTGCAACTTAGCTTAATTAAAGTTTACTGATAGGCTTAAGTCCGCTGTAAACGTTAGCACAACGATTTCACTTACTTGTTTGAGCTGTACAGAACGTTCGGTTTGTTTATTATCGCAAAACTACATAATAGCGTATCTACGATTTTTCAGTCTCGGGGAATCCCCAAATTTCAGTGTTGTATTTCCATACACTTACCGCTAACCCACCAGGGAACTCTCTACACAGTGTGAGGATTGTCTCTTATTATTATGTCGAAAATAAAAATTCAATATATAAAATTGGGCTGACCAATAATCTAATTCTACATCTCGTTATAGTAGGTTCAATGTAATTTACTAATATACTCAACAATCCACTGTTACACTCACAAATTAGTCATAATCTATTCTAAGTTGCATTTTCTGCTGCTCACAAAATCTAATACTTTCATATAATGTTACATACAAATCATCGATATAAGAGGCCTAATGGTATTTCTTTGATTTGTCAACCAAAGCTGTGCTGATGAGACATGAATAGGCGAAAACTAGTCCACAGCCAATCAAAGAAAGCACAGGTTTTCTTTTTTCGAATTTACCTTTGGTGAGAATGAAAAGAAATCTGTAACATATTGTTACGACAGCGGAAGTCACGCGACGCTGGGAGCATGCGCGCTGGAGTTCCT